ATGTTAATAGTTAACATAGATTAATGATATGATACAAAATAATATAACGATATAAAATTTCACGTCAACGGTGAACTTGTGTTTTTATGCATGTGTACATGTATGAAAATATATATTTTTCCATTTGCAAAATAAAAAAAAAGTTTTAAAACTACAACTCATTACTTTAATTTCATATTTTAGAAAAAAAGGTTTTGACTCAAACAATCGTACCAGTCTTCTAAATGAAATCTAAACACTACTAGAATTTCTCTTATTATATGCGACTTTTCTTGCCAATTTTTCATAAAAATTCGCAAGAAACGTTGTTCCTACAAATTTTTTTGGCGAAATTTTATTTGCAGGTAATACCTTCGTAGATAATATACTTTTGCGAATTTTAAAATTCGTAGGAAATTTTCCTGCGAAATTTCTTGCAAAAAAAAATTTGCAGGAAAGTTTCCTGCAAAAAAAAATCGCAGGAAAGTTTCTTGCAAATTTTTTCGCAAGAAATTCTACAGGAATATTTTTTATGAAAAAATTAAAAAAATTACTATAAATTCTATCAATAATTTTTTAACTTTCAAATGCTCACAATGAATTTATCTAAAACATTTGTTTCCATGCCTCCAACATATGATACATAATCTTTTAAATTTTAAGATTGTAGATTATAAGCCTAACACTCAACCGTACAAATCAACTTGTTGTAAGGTAAGTGTTGTCCCAACTTATATACTCTTTAATTGTTTTATTTTCAATCAATGTGCGACTTGAATTTTTTTTAAAATATTAAATTTATAAATTTAAATATTTTTTTATACGATTCTTGCGGATTAAAATTTGCAGGAAAATTTGCAAGAAAAGTTACTTGCAAAAGTTTTCTACCATTTAGTAAACATTATTTGCGAATTTATTTTTGCAAGAAAATCTGCAAGAAACAAAATAAAATTCTTATAATATTTTCTGCAAATTTTTACCATGGAAAAAAATTTCTATGATTATTAAAATTGTAGCAAAATTTGTAAGAAATATCTGTAAATTATTTTTCCCAAATAAATTCGTAAAAAATTTCTACGAATATTTTTTTGCAGGAAAATTTGTAAAAAATTTCTGCAAATATTTTTTTACAGGAAAATTCGTAAGAAAATGACTTTTCTAGTAGTGAAAGAAAATTATAGCTTATAAGGGCTTAGAAATGATACCAATATAAACAAAGTGATAATCCCAACCCCAGTACCACAATATTAGAGCTGACATGATATATCATAGATCGAGACAAAGTGGTGTCCTGGAAATGGTTCTTGGCTAGATCTACTAATGTTTTCTTCTATACCCGGAATGCAGTATAGGTGAAAGGATATAAGTATAACCTATTATAAATTTATAATTAAACAAAGCTATGACTCCAAAGGGGAATGGTAATCACGACCATTAAATATAATTAATTGGAAAACTAGGTTTGGACATTGTTTCAATTGGTTCACATTCTATGGTTAGACCTTTCAAACCTTTCACTTGCTAAAGAAAAACCGAGAGACATGTTATATCATTGAAAGGGAAGTGTGCAAAGACAACCAGTAATGTCACCAAAGTGCTCCTTCAAGAGTCTAAAGCAAAGTATGTTATACCTGTAAATTCCTTTTTCTTTATCCAAATTGAGAATGAAATCAGAAGGAGTACCTTCAGTTGTGGTGAGCCTTGCTAAAGGGTATATCATGTGTTTCATATCAAAATCAAGGTAAGTGGTTTGCTTGCACATAGACCTCCATTTCTTTGAAAGGATGCTAGTCCTCACACAACTTCATCAATTGGAAGCAAAGAGAGGATGGAGCATAAGATATTGTTAGGAAGAGAAGTGTAGAGATATGAGAAATCCTCCTTATTGTGATCTACTATCATGATGGCCTTCTTTGTTTCTTTCTCCATATCATCTATCACTTGTTTGTTTCTTCCCCCCAAACCAGTTGTGTGGATGGGGCTTTTAGAGCAATTGTGAGTGTGTATTGATATATAAGTGGATGATAGATGAGTGTATGAAAGCTTCTTTTTTTCCCCTATCTTTTTAATAGTATCTAATTTTGTTAGTAGAATAAAATCATTATAAGTGATAAAATTCATAATTCGAATTATTCAATATAATCAGAGACTATAATTTAAGATCATTGATTAAATTGCCTGCAACTAAATGTAAGTTAATATATATATATATATATATATATATATTTTGTGTTCTGATTTTTTTTTATATCTTCTCTATATGTTTTTCGTGTGTGGGAGATATGG